TAAAACTGTTAAAAGTATTCCCCCCTCCTCCCTGCTCAAACAAAACAAAACAAAACAAAAACAGGTAAGTTCTTCTAAGGAAGTGATATTCAAAATGCTGGTCAGCCACAGATAAGGAGCTTGGCCAGAATCTGAATCAATAATCTGCTTCCTTCAACTAGCAAATTTGCTACAAAAAAATGTCAGCTGAACTAAACAGTGCACTCAGATACTTACATTAGAGTGAAAACTCTTCATCTTTTCACAGAACAGGAACAAAAAGTTCACAGAACTGTCCAAGCTTTTGTACCATCCAGGATTTTTCAAACAGTTTGCTATGAGCTCTGCACCCCAAGTTAACATAGAGACATTTTTCCTAGCCCCACATGCAGCCAGGAGAGAGCTATGTGACCTCGGGTCTGTCAGTGAGAACCAATCATTTAAAGTTTTGATTAGGAAGAGACCAAAAAGGGAGGAGGTACTAAGTCAAGTCCTTTATTCTGGTCAAGCTGGTCAAGCTTTGGGGAGGAGTTAAAGTTCACTGACATCTAGTGGCTAGTAACAAGAAGGCAAGCTACAGGGTCCAAATCCATCCCAACAGCATTGGGGTATTTGCCAGAAAACACCCAAGGCATGGTTTGGACAGTTTCTGGCTGTGCGGCTTCAAGGTCAGACTCTGACCTTCCCAAATATTTGAGTTCTTTTACTCACTCATGAAGTTTAAAATGCTTTCAAACTTAACCACTAGACACTTTTACAAACTCAACACTTTAGCAATAGGTTTCAAGCTTACAGAAATATAACCATCAAAAAAGAAAATTCAAATTTTGATTACTAGTTTACCCATACCTCTATAAAAGATGAGTGTTAAGCCACATTATTTAGCCACATTCATTAAGTTTTCATTAACTCCACTCAAAAAAAGGTCAAAACAATTTTAGCAATGCTATATTAAACAGACCTAAAATTAGGCATCTGTAATTTGAACCTCTAAAAATAACTAGTATTTCTCCTATGATAATGAAAAATGGTTGTTTAGGGTGGGGGGTTGTCTTACAGATATGCTGAGTACTCATTTCAAGGTCAGAAAATTAATGAATCTAGTCTTTCCTCTTCCCTTTTCTCAATCTCATAATCAGGAATGTATAGAAGAGGTCAAGATATTGTCCAGCATGGTAAGAAGACAACTTATTTTTTTTTTTGTCTGGATTCGGTTTTAGCCACTGCATCCCAAGGCACAGTTTGTTTCGTCGGGGTAGGGCCCTGGTATTATAATACATTTAGTTCACTTAGGAACTTCCCTTTTTCTTTTAAGCGTTAAGAAAACATTTTCACTCCTAAATGATAAGCCAAGGTAACCTTCCACAGACCCTGCAAAAATATCTCAAGTTTCACAGTTAAAGAGAAACAAATGTGTTGAGACATACTTTCATCATTCCTTTCTTTCTTTCAATATATTTTATTCTGATGAAGTTACAAAAGTAGATACAAAACACTTTCTTAAAAAAGTACAGTTAACCGACTTAGAAAAATAGATAAAGCCCCTAAAGGTTTAAAAATACAAAATAAATTTTCATGTAAAGAACATTTAAAAATATTTTAGATAACCAAGACTAACTTAAGCAAGTTATTTTCAATGTAGACCAAACATAGAATGTTGTCCTATAATAAATCTATAGCACACTGGTAATCCATTCGGATTTACAGAATACTTATTTGAGACAGAATCTGATGAGAGAAAACCCAAGTGAATTTCAATACAGTTGGTTCAGTAAAATTACTGCTACCACCCCAAAGCCCATTACAGTCTGAAATATCAAAATCTAATGCAAAAGCACAGGAAAACTGAGGAGCTACTATTTCCCCTCTTTGCCAGAACTGTACAATAGTTAAAATCCAAATCCAGTTACTGAACTGGTATTAGGAGGAAATAATGTCCCTGTTGAAGCTGCTTAGTTTGGTGTCCCAGCTAGTATTTTCAGGCCAGAATTCTACAGAAAGCAGACAGACTCCTATAATCAGGCAAAGGTGACACCAGCAGCATGACTGAAGCTGCTTAGAAACAAATTTCTAGGACTCACACCCTTCGGGACTGGTTTGTTTATGCTTATGAGGTAATGATATAATGTTCAGAAGCTTCTCCACTTCTAATGCGACCTCACTGCTCAGAGAGAGGGCCAAACAGCATAATCAAGAAATCTCAAAAATATCTGAAAAATTAACATCACCACCAGGACTGCTCCTCTCACCTCTGCTCTACTAGAAAAACTTTCCTTTTGCTGTTATCAATGTCATGATGCACACAGATGTACATTCCTCAAGCAGGCAGCTACATGAGCTAAGGATCTATAGGTCTTAAGATGAAAGGAGATACTTTGATAACTGGCAGCCTACTAAAAACCACTTTTTTCACAGTTTGGCAAAGAATAAAGGAGCCATTTGGTTGTCAATACAAAAACTGGAGTACAAGGAAGTTTCACTATTTAAACAAAAATCTGCACATCATTGTCCAAAACTTTTTTTTAAAGGCCTGGAAATTAAAGCACCATAGGATTAACTGCATAATTCAGCAAGTACTATCCAACCCATGCTTTTAGTCGGGCGTGGAGAGCAGTGATGAGACACGGAGAGAGGACTTCTGATTAGGAGGAGTCAGGGGAGTGAGTGTTACTCAGGGAGATAAATCAAGACTGAGAGGAGTCAAAGAAAGACGGACTCCTTCCAGCTTTAATCAAAGGCTGGCCTTCCAGCCAAGCCCAGAAGGTGCTATCTTCTCCATGTTCTCTGCTCCATCTCTCCTGTTCACTCCCTGCCTTGGATGTAAATAAATAATGTTAAACTAATGTTTGGTTGCATTGTTGGTTAAGCCAGATTAACTGGGAATGCTTTTTCTTTATTTGGTATTGCTTTTATTTATTTAAAAAAGGGACATTTTGAATTCTGAATTCTTAATTACCAACAAATTTTAAAATTTATGTCCCATTATTAAGCTGTCTCTACTACTTTTACTTTAGTTACTTAGTTTTAGGGCTCTAAGTCATGAAGAAAGGGAGGATTTCTACCACTGAAAATAAATGAAGGAAAATAAGAACACTTTTATTTGATGATACTTAAAATATTAGAAATGATAAAAATACAATCTTATTTGAGAAATATTTCATTCCTAGCAGACTTAATTAAAGCCAACAATGTTCAAAGTCAAGAGGCAGTAACATCCTAACATTCTAAAAACCTTCTTGTTTGGAAATGATCAACATAAACATACAGAATGCCTGATGGTTCTTTTGGATAATCTTAAAATGAGGATTATGGAATGTTTCATAGAGGACTTTTTTAATAAGGGATTTTCCCACTATTTCCCCAAACAACAATGTATGGTTTCAGCCTAAATCAGATAAAATGTTTTGTTTCCTATAAAATTCTATATATATTTAAGAATTTATTGAAATTGAGTTATTACAAAAATGGAGTTTCTAAGTAATTTTTTCTTTACAATCTAGTATAATAATAAAAATAAATAAAAAAAACCCCTTCAAATCTAACCTTAACCAAAGGTATCAAGGAACATGGTGAGTACTTTGCAAAAAATCATAGCTCTGAAACAAATGTTGATGAACTTCAAGTGTTGCCAGTCTGGCAAGTCTTTAGTAATATGTGTGCCTCAATACACTTCGAACAGCCTATATCTGAAAAATCTAGTGAAAATTAGATCTTTTCTTCACTAAAGGAGATTCTTTTTACGCCAACAGAATAATTTCAAGTTTTGATACGAAAACAATTAAAACAGAATAAAATGCCAATCCATCCCTTGACTATTAACAGAATGAAGCTTTTTTTACTTATCCCATTTTTGTCTCCTTTAAACATATATCCCCCTACCCCTAACACAGACACACACACATTAAAGAACATGTAGCACACCAAACTTTTAGATGGGTTATAAAATGTGCACACCTTTAAGGTTTTTTATTATGGTTTTCCTTATGTTTTAACCTTATTGGGGTAAAGTTCATGCATTTCTACACTACTCTTAACTAAGTCTCAAGACACAATAAAAATACATATAAGTAGTTTCTATTTTAAGGAAAACTCAAAACAAAATAATCAAGTACTCTTAAGTACTTTCTTCTTTTCTCCTATCCAAATTTCAAGGCCTCTGAAGCCAAAAACATGAATGATAATAATGGTTTTTGAGACCCAAATTTGTTATAATTTTTTTGGAAGTCTTTTCTCAGCCAAAACCTACATATTAAAATTAATCTGAATGAAGTTTTTCAAAATAAAAATCTGCAAGACAATTAATTCTTAGATGCCTTAAAAAAATTCTTTGATACACACTAAAAATCTAGATAGGCTGTGAATAAAATTCCAAATAAAGATTAAATAATAAAGTCATTTTAGAAATAACTCTGGGTACTCCCATACCATATCTTATGATGATTTAAACTGCAATCATGGATTTTGAAAAAAAAAATACATGTATATGACCTATAAAAACACTAGCATACAAACTTCAAACTAAAAGGTTATCCAAAGTGACACAAATGTTTTTAATCTAAAGAAAATTTCAAAATGCCTCTTCTATTTGTAAAATAAAAGCAGAATAAAACTGATCTGATTGCATTATTATGAAATTTGTTCTGGAAGCTTGTTAACAAATTATTGGCAGAAATTTTTTATATCCATCATGCTGTTACCTGAATCAGACTTCAGTCATCTTCTTCAGTAAATGAGTAAGTAAACTAATAAACTGCAGCTAGTCCTCATATACTACAACCAAAAATGACTCTGTGGTAATAACAGCAGTGATCATACAGTGCCTCAAATTCAGCCATGTCCTGAATTTCTCTCTGAAGGTATTAGGCCAACCTACCTTTGGGACAATTTTATCAGTAGACACAGGCAATTGGTGTCTTTTTATCCTGTTTTCTTAAAGTCTGTATCACTAGTCTATAACAGAAAGCAATGAGATAGCTCTAGCAGTAGATGAAGCAAGAAGGTAACTGTTCCAGAAGAAAAATTTATCTGTCTTTTGATCCAAGCTTCTCAATTAATTCCTGAAGAGGTGCCAACTCACGCCTATCAATCAGATTAAACTCCTAAAAAAAGAAGAAAAATAAAATTAAAAAATAGATCTAAAATTAAAACTCTACATCATTCAGAGAAAGGATTTCCAACTCTAGCTTTCTGAAATCCAAAAGAATGATGAAATAATCTCTATGAATATTTTAAAATAGGATCATTTTTACTCCCTATTTTAATATATAAGGGACTTAATAGATAGTGGCCTCCTCTGGGCAGTGGACCTTTTACTTCCATATACCTACATTTACATACTATCTATGACAGGCAACAATCTCTAAGAAAGACAAAAAAGAAAGCCCAGTACATTCTCCTCTGTGTGGTACACAGAATTGGATATATAATATCTACTATAAAAGCTACTATAAAAGACTATTTTTTTCGGCTCCAAAATCACTGCAGATGGTGACTGCAGCCATGAAATTAAAAAGACACTTACTCCTTGGAAGGAAAGTTATGACCATCCTAGATAGCATATTAAAAAGCAGAGACATTACTTGGCCAACAAAGATCCGTCTAGTCAAGGCTATGGTTTTTCCAGTGGTCACGTATGGATGTGAGAGTTGGACTGTGAAAAAAGCTGAGCACCGAAAAATTGATGCTTTTGAACTGTGGTGTTGGAGAAGACTCTTGAGAGTCCCCTGGACTGCAAGGAGATCCAACCAGTCCATCCTGAAGGAGATCAGTCCTGGGTGTTCATTAGAAGGACTGATGCTGAAGCTGAAATTCCAATACTTTGGCCACCTCATGCGAAGAGTTGACTCATTGGAAAAGACCCTGATGCTGGGAGGGATTGGGGCAGGAGGAGAAGGGGATGACAGAGGATGAGATGGCTGGACTGGATGGCATGACCGACTCGATGGATATGAGTTTGAGTAAACTCCAGGAGTTGGTAATGGACAGGGAGGCCTGGCATGCTGCAATTCATGGGATCGCAAAGAGTCGGACACGACTGAGCGACTGAACTGAACTGATAAAAGCTACTGGTTTTCCCATCAAAATATATATATATATATATATATATTTGTATTTATATACTTAATATAGAAATATATTTATATTTAAATTTAAATATAATATAAATATAATCTGTATGTATTTAAATATGTATTTCTATTTAAATATATTTATATTTGCATAAAGAATTATATATTTCTAAAGTTAGGCTAAGAAGTCCCTATTTGATCATTTTTTTCAAACAATGTGAATTATTTTGACTTTAAAAAGTTCTAATTTCAACTAAGGGCCCATAAGGAAATAGGCCACACCTCTGAAGGTGGTGGTTCTTTGTGACATTTCTAGCTGCTAACTTTGTAAGTTTCAGCCTGAAGTAGACTTCTGGAAACTAATTCAAGATATTTTAGCTAACGAGTTCTTCCGAAAGTTTCTCCTCCAGGCATAGACATCTCATGAAATGACACAACCCTAGATGTTTTTCCCATGGCATCCCTTTATTCAGCAGTGGCAATGGGACACGAGGGTGTTGACAAGCTTTCCTGGGTGTTTAGTGCTTCATGTCATATTCCAGTCAGAGACCAGAGTCAGGTCTCTCCAGAGGCAAAAGGCCCCAAATGGGGGTGATGCCTTCTATTCTGTTATGTATATCAAAGAAATAAACAAGAAAAAGGGAATAAAACAGGAGAACTGTGCATACTTACCTCTATATCTATAAATAAGACACTATACTATACTTTTTATTAATTACCAATTCAAATACGTCCATGTCAAAGGACACACCAAAATCAATGCAATTCAACTTACCTGAACGAAGAAAATAAAGTGCTTAAAGGAGGTGTTGAGGTGGGCTTCCTCCTGCAGCTGCATTACAGAATCAAAGTGCTGGTGATAAATATGGGCATAAACCCTGAACAGACGCTTTAGAATGGTCTTTGCCACAGACATAAAGTTTTTAGGAAATGGGACACCTGTAATATATATATGTTTCAGTCTTTTATCAGTAAGAGAAAAATAAATAGCAGAAAAATTTAGACAATGAAATGAACATCTCCAATACACAGATTCACAAATATAAGCTTCTATCCATATATATATTTTTTAAAAGGCAAGGGAAAAAAACACCCAAACCTAAGTATGTGAGGTATCCTCATACCACAATTTTGCTGACTACTTTAGAACAGTAGGCACAAGTGACAAGTTATGGAAGATGACGCCAAATCAAAGTTGAATTTTACTTGTTTAATACTCGAGAATTTCTCCCTAAAATTAACGGCAACAAGTTTGTTTCTTGTTTTTTTGGCCCTGTCATGCAGCCTGTTGGGAATCTTAGCTCCCCAGTCAGGGATCGAACTTGAACCCCCTGCATTGGAAGCATGTTTTAACCACTGGACTGCCAGGGAACTCTCAGGGAGTTCTATTTACAGCTTAGACTATAAATAGAAAATTTTTACTTTTGGCAATTTATAACTCTAAAAAGATTTTTTACACACACACATACATACTCAACCAGGACTCGAAATTTTCCCAAGCAAAAGAAAAAGGCACACCTTGAGTCATTATTATCTACTGTCTACAAATAAAAAATATTTTATCTTCTGAAGTACTCTGAAAATCTAGTCTTCCTTCTTAGGCTAGGAATTCCCAACTTTTTATTTAATTTTTTAAAGTGCTATTTCCATTTTCCTATAGTGTAAGAAGAGGAATAATACTTTCTATAAAGGGGAAGAATGGCACCTCCCTATTTTTCAAAGAAAATAAAATATCTCCTCATAAAAGAACTGGGAGAACTGGGAGAGATCTTAGTCATCACTCTCCAAGCAGTGGGATATGACTGGCTGCATTCCTGAGAATTTTGGTTGACAAGATCAATGTTTCTTAGAAAACAGGTACAGTAGGCAATACAACAGGCACAGAGTACAGTTAACAAACACATAAGAAGGCAACTGCTTCCAAAATAACCTAGAATAGCTGGCCTAATAGCACTATACTACTCTTGAACATGTCCTTTTCTCTAATTTTTCAGAAAACAAAAGTTAAAACACTTTCTCCTTCCCTGCACTCTGTATTCTTGACTTCTCCACCAGTCCTTAATAGTTTGAAATTTAGTAAATTTTGCTCTTGTAAGCTGATGTATGTGTATGTGTTCCTCCACCCCTCATCCCCAGTCTTTGTAACAACCTGCCTTTTCACACATTATTCTGAGGGTGATGGACATGTTTTTCTGGACTTGGTCTTATATTCATGTATTGAAAAGATGGATTTTTAAAGTCAAATCCTTTTTCTCTCAGAATTAGCAAATGGGCACCTGGATATTAAAAAGAATATTAATAAGCTAGCTATATTAGCTTAAAAATGAGTAACAATCAAGTTTTGTCTAAAATAATAAATAATGGAATAAGTTAAGATCTGGATAATAGTCTAATGAAGGGGGAAATAATTCCAGAATATTAGGATAAAATATTGAAGAATTGGGAAGCTGAAGAAAGAGAGTAATGACAAAAGTATTCTTTACCTCCATAAGAGGGAGACTCTGATAAATAAATAAAGTGATTTATTTTAATCTAAGCACTTTCCAAGCTGAATTTAACATTCGAGTACAGCCAATACACAATAAAGGATCTATGAGAAAGGAAACAAAAGGCTTTATAGAACAGAAAAGTTGGTCAACAGCAAACAGACCAAATATAACATGACATAAATTTTCAAAAAGGAATCTGCTATGTTCTGAGTGTGTGTGTGTGTGTGTGTGTGTGTTGCTCAGTTGTGTCCAACTCTCTGTAGCTCCGGGGGCTGTAGCCCACCAGGCACCTAGGTCTATGGGGAGTCTCCAGACAAGGATACTGGATTTGACAACCACGCCCTAATCCAGAGGCTCTTCCCAACCCAGGGATCAAACCCAGGCCTCCCACACTGCAGGCTGGGTGCCTCCTTCAAAATTATATTGAAATTCTAACACCCTAGACAATGGTATTAAGAGGTGGGGCCTTTGGGGGTGATAAGGCCATAAGGCCTCTGCCCCTTTGGCTAGAATCAGTGCCCTTACAGGAAGAAACAGAGATGATTTCCCTCTCTGCCATATGAGAATACAACAAAAAGACTGTTTTTTGCAATCTGTAAACCAGGAATAGGACCTATGACAGAACCTGACCATGCTGGCCTCTGATCTTGGACTTCCAGACTTCAGAAGTTAAGAAACACATCTCTATTGCTTATAAGCCCTCCAGTCTCTGGTACTTTTTGTTATAGCAACCCAAACAGACATGATAGAATCTAACAATATGTTGTTCATTAGATACCCTATACTGAAAATGACAATGATCAATCACATCCATGAATATCAATGCCAAAATCTTAATCAAAATATCCAGAAATTAAAAAACTCTTGCAGCAGAACATTGAAAAAAATAGAGAAAATCTTATGATCAACAACAGAAAATAGAAGAGCATCTGACAAAACCCTACAATCAATTTGATTTTTAAAAATTCACAAATCTCTAACCAAAAGTAGGAGTCCTGCTTAATGCTGAAATACTAGAAGCACTCACATGAAAGTAAACAAGAAAAGGATGTTTGCCTTCATCGCTTTTACTCAGCACTGCTCTGAAAGTACTAGTTACTGCAATTAGTTAAGAGTACACAAGTAGTATATTTATCAGAAAACAATAGATGAAATTAGTATTATCTTAGTCTGATGTGACTATAAACTTTAAAAACTCAAGAAAACCAATCCAAAAGAAATAGTCAGAAACTGATGGTCAATTATTAAATTCATAGATATATCAAGTTTTCCTATATACTAAACAATAACCAGTTAGAAACCAGATTATCAATAAAAACATTAAGCGCCTATGAATAAACTTAAGAAACCTGAAGGACTAAAGTAAAATACAGAATTTTTCCAAGAGGGAGTAAGAAATAATTAAAAGACTGTTCCTGGATAGAAAGACTCAGTATTGTCAAGAGAACAAGAATCCCTACAATAATTTCCAAACTGAATGAAATCTTAATAAAAATCTCACAGGTATTTTTTTTACCTTGACAAAATGTTTCTAAATTCTTTGGAAGAACAAACTTTCCAGAATAGCTATGAGTATTCTGAAAAAGAAGAGCAAGGAAGAGAGACTAGCCCTACAAGATGTTCAAAAATACATGGCCATGGTAATTAAAACAGTGTGGAATTTCTTTAAGAATAAAAACATTAAAAGACTTCAAAACATATGTCAATTTGCTGTACACACACGAAAATTAGGGACTAAAAGACACATGTATATGATAAATGGTACTGAACAAACTGCCTAGCATTTATAATTGGGAAAAAAAGAGGAGTGTTGAGAAAAAATTCCTGACAGAAGAAAGATTTAAAAACAAAACCACAAAAGTACTAAATAAAAGCACTGACAAATATTTTTATGATCTTTAAGTGGGAAAGTCCCTTCTAATCATTGTATTAAAATCCAAACATCATAAAGGCAAAGATTAATAGGTCAAAAAAAGAATAATACACATAGCCAAAAAATCCTCATAAACAAAATAAGGCAACCTGAAGAAAAATACAACATGCATGACAAAGACCTAATATATCCTTAACATAAAGAAACAGACAAAGGATATAAACAGAAAACACACAATGATCAATAAATAAAAAAATGCTCAATCTTTTCAATATTTTATAAAATGAACATTATACTAGAAATTTATTTACCCATTTTAGAAAAGATGAAAAACTGAGAGGCAACTAGTACTGACGAAGAAACACAGGCAGACACAAACATGGCTGGAAGGAGTATACATTTAGAACCTTTTTGTAGAGAAATCTGGCAGCCTATTAGATTTTGTTACACTAATAGACCATTAACAAGAACATAACACATCTATCATTTAAAAAGAATATTAGTTCTACAACATGAACTCACCAATTTTAGAAGGAAAAAGAGTTTCATCATCAAGTTGATCCTGAACCCAAGTCATCAAATAGTCAATGTATTTTGGTGCAGAACATTTGATTGGCTTTTTAATATTAGTACCATCTGCCCAATGATATTCATATCTGAAGAGAAAAAAGTTTTAGTAATAAAGTTTTAAAAAACATGTTTCAACTTATAACCACAGTAGGTTCACAGTTTGTCTACATTGTTAAGTGTGTTCACGCACAAATACACACATATAATTTTAGTAAATTAACCAAAGTTCTACTGAAGATTACTTGGGAGTTCCCTGCAGAAAGACAGTTGACCCTTAAACAACAAGGGTTTGAACCACACAGGTCCACTTATACACAGATATTTTTCAACAGTAAATACTACGATCCACGGTTGGTTGAATCCATAGATGCAGAGGGACCATGGATATGGAGGGCTGACTCAACTTATACCATATTCTGAAATATGATGGTAATAAATGGAAAAGAAAAAGATAGTATGGCAGCTGGCTGTGCCAGAATTTGTTTTATAACACAGCCCTGAGAAAGGCAAGAACTGAGTTCCTGTCAGTTAGACAGAAGGCGCTGAGGGGTGGGTAAGGTGCTGATGGATCCTCCATGTTCTGAGCTTGTTGGCCATTAAGTAATTATCAACAGAGCCAAGATTATAAAACCCTGTTTTTTGAGAGGGTTCTAAAGAATAATCTTATGCATGCATCTTTTTCTACTTCACCTTTGCTAAGCTAGAATGATTAATAATAAAACTTCACTTTATGAATCATTTAAGCCAAAGACAGGAAATTTGAGGACTAAAACAACACTTCACAAAATAAAAAACCTCTCTCCTAAAATAATGTAAAAAAAACAGAACTCAAATTCACTGGGGACCTTTTTTACCGTTACATAAAAACGATAGCAAATTCAGAAAGGACTATTTTTTATACCATCTATCATCACATAAAAGCAATTAACTGTTATAGGAAAAAAGATTGGAAGGACACTAAAACATTAAGTCTATAACATCTTAACCTTGTGGGTGATAAAGGGTTCTACCTCTTTGTCAATATTTCTAGAAATTATTACAGTCAAAAAATTTTAATCTAGCATCCTTAAGCCAGGTAACTAAAGCAGCTCAATTTGGAAGTAATTAATACCAAATAAACACAAGGAAAAAAATCAAATATTAAAGGGTCAACTAAAAATTCTAAGAAATTAATTTAAAAAACAGAAACAAAACCATAAATTTAACAAAATTGAAAAAATAACTTTTGAAAAAGCAAGATAAACCTAAATTTCTTAACTTTCAATCCTACTGAACATTCATACTTACTACAATGCCATTATAAAAAATCAAAACACTGGGAAACACATACCAAAGTAATAACTAAAAAGTTAAAGGTAAGCTTTTGTTTTCACAAGCGAACAGGCAAGAAAAACAACAAGTCTTTACTATTTAATTTATATCAGTTGGTGATTAGCTTTATTTAGTAATTCAAATACCTATATAATAGCCAGTTTAAGTACCTTGGACCTGCAGACATGACTGGACAGCTTGCTTCAGTGCAGAATTCTGTGATAGTTCCATATAACATGTTGATCTGGTTGAAGAAATCCACAGCTGGAAAATTAATAGCAGAATTGTGTTAAAATGTCCATGTAAACAAAATAATCCTCAGGAGAGTCAACAGTCCAGGGGCACTATAAATTCTCTTTTTTAAATTGTCACACCTAAAGTAAACTTTAAAAAAATTATTTATTTATGTGGCTGTGCCAGGTCTTAGTTGCAGCAAGTGGAATCTTTAGTTGCAGCATGTGGGATCTAGTTCCCTGACCAGGGAGCAAACCTGAGCCCCCTGCACTGGGAGCTCAGAGTTTTAGCCATTGAAATCACCAGGAAACTCCCTTAAGTAAACTTTAATATACACTTATTTTTAATATACTAAGCTTTTTTTTTTTCAGTGTTACAGCTCTATTTATTTAGATAATAGCAGGAAAACCCATCTTCGAGGCATGAGGGCACGTCGATCCAAAGATGCGAAGAGAAGATCGCCCCATCGCGCGGGGGAGAGAGAGAGAAGAGGAGAGAGAGGGAGAGAGAGAGAGAGAGAGAGAAGAGGGAGAGAGAAGAGAGAGCGAAGAGGGAGAAAGAGGGAAAGAGAGGGAGAGAGCTATTTTTAATATACTAAGCTTTTAAGCAGCCTGTAAGCAGGAAAATTAGAGATATTAATAACTTAATGGCAACTGAGCTTCCAGTTCAAGATGGCATAGATCTTAGATCTCCTCCTGCAAGAGCACCAAAATTGCAACTAGTTATGGAACAACCATAGACAGGAGGATGCTGGAACCTACCAAAAGACACCCCATGTCCAAAGACAAAGAAGCTGCAGTGAGACAGTAGAAGAGGTGCAATCATGATAAAATCAAATGCCATAGCCACTGGGTGGGTGACCCACAAGTTGGAGAATAATACCAAAGAAGTTCACCCACTGTTGTGAAGATTCTGAATCCTACATCAGGCTTCCCAACCTGAGGATCTGACAAGGGCTGGGAATCCCCAGGGAATCTGACCTTGGAGGAAAACAGGATTTGATTACAAGACTTCCACAGGACTGGGGGAAAGAGAGACTCCAGTCTTAGCGGGCACAAACAAAACCTTGTGTGCACCAGATTCAGAGGAAAGGAGCAGTGACTCCCACAGGAGACTGAACCAAAACTACCTGCTAATGCTGGAGGGTCTCTTGAGGAGGCAGAGGTCAGCAGGGGCTCACTAGAGTGTCAGTGACACTGGAAGGTCCCCCTTGGCGTAAACCCTCTAGGAGTTCACATTAAACCCTACCATAAGAGCCTATAAAACCCAGGGCTGGGTCACCTCAAGCCAAAAAGCTTCCAAGGAGGGAGCACAACCCTTCCCATCAGCAGATAATTGGACTAAAGCTTTACTGAACAAGGCCCTGCCCACCAGGGCAAGACCCACTTTTCCCCACCACCAGTCCTTTCCATCAGGAAGCTTACACAAGCCTCTTAGCCTCTTCCATCAGAGGGCAGAGAGAAGAAGCAAGAAGAATCACAGTCTCCCAGCAACAAAAACAAAAACCATATTACAGGAACTTTCACTTTTCACTTTCATGCACTGGAGAAGGAAATGGCAACCCACTCCAGTGTTCTTGCCTGGAGAATCCCAGGGATGGGGGAACCTGTTGGGCTGCCGTCTATGGGGTTGCACAGAGTTGGACACGACTGAAGTGACCTAGCAGCACCAATCAGCATGAAAAAGCAGAAAATTATGTCCTAGATGAACAGACAAGATAAAACCTCAGAAAACTAAATGAAGACAGGATACCTTCCAGAAAAAGAATTCAGAGTGATAGTGAAGATTATTCAGGATCTCAGAAAAAGAATGGAGAAAAGATTGAGAAGATGCAAGAAATGTTTACCAAAGACCTAAAAGAACTAAAGAACAAACAGAGATGAATAAAACATTAGAAGGAATCAATAGCAGAATAACTGAGGCAGAAGAATGGACAAATGATCTGGAGGACAGAATGGTGGAAATCACTGCTGCAGAACAGAATATAGAAAAAAAATGAAGACAGCCTAAGAGACCTCTGGGACATCATTAAACACACCAACATTTGGATTATAGGGGTCCCAGGAGGAGAAGAGAGAAAGAAACAGAAAATATCTGAAGAGACAATAGCTGAAAACTTCCCTAATGTGGGAAAGGAAGTAGTCAACCAAGTCCAGGAAAACAGAGTCCCAGGCAGGATAAACCCAAAGAGGAACACACTAAGACACATAGTAATCAAACTGATGAAAACTAAAGACAGAGATAAAACATTAAAAGCAACAAGGGAAAAATGACAAATAACATACAAGGGAACTACCATAAGACTATCAAGTTGATTTCTCAACAGACACTCTATGAGCAAGAGGAGAATGGCAAGATATATTTAAAGTTATGAAAAAGAAGAACCTACAACCAAGAACTGTCTACCCAGCAAGACTCTCCTTCAGATTTCATGCAGAAATCAAAAGCTTTCCAGATAAGCAAAAGTTATTTGCAGCATCACCAAACCAGCTTTACAACAAATGCTAAAGGAACATTTCTAGGCAGGAAACAAGAGAAGGAAAAGACCAACAGAAAATAAACCCAAAACAATTAAGAAAATGGTAACAAGATCATACACAATAAATAATTATCTTAAATGTAAATGGATTAAATGCACCAACAGAAAGACTGGCTGGGTGGATGAAAACATGTCCATGTGTGCACTTCCATTTACCACATCACTCTGCTTGACCCCTCAAATTATATGTAATTATGTTCTTAGGTTAATCATGTCCCCATTATGGCTTACAACTGCAATTACCTTTTTTGTCTGGCTATTGATTGTGAAAACTGATACACATCTTCCACTATTGTGATTATGTAACTATCTCTCATTTAATACCACTGTATCATGAATGGTCAAAAGAAAAATAACATTATTCTATATTACCAAAATTACCATTTACTAGAAAAACCTGTAACTACTTCTTAAAATCCAGACATATTATCAGAATTATCTTGAAATTTTTTGAAAAATACAAATACCTAGGTATAGATTTTTTTTGCGAAAGAGTTCCAGATATGTTTCCAATGAGCAACCATGTTTAAAAACAAATGGATCAAATGAGGAAATTTTACTTTTATCTAGTTTCACTTTTTCTATTTCATATTCAGTGCTCCCACTTCATTTAGTTAATGTTTTCCAATTTCTCCATCTGTTCTTTTTTTTTTAGCCTTTACCAAACATAGTAGAAAACTCTTGTATTCATATATATAATGTGTTCAATATATAAATTTTAGAAAACTTCTGAATTTTTGCCTAACTAAAAAAATTTAGTCTGTTTGACTTGGTTTAGTTTGATTGTACTTGTTTGATTCAGCATGAATAGAATGTAGATTTCTAATTAAAAAAAAAGACCTGCAACAAGCAACAAAGGTTTACTGTATAGTAGAGGAATTATTGACTGTTACAAGATACAGTCAATATCTTGTAATAATCTATAATGGAAAATAATTTCAAAATTTATATGTGTATATATATAATCACAAACAAAATTCTACTTTTTGAAATTTTGTAACATTTATCTTTTTGCCAGTTTTTCTAAATGTCCTATGAACATCTAGTAACAAGGTATGAGATACAAAATTTTAAATACATTTGTTTAGAATATAAGATTGTTATTGTTCAGTGGCTAAGTCATGTCTGACTCTGACTCCATGAACTGCAGCACACTAGGCTTCTCTGTCTATCACTAACTCCCTGAGTTTGCTCAAACTCATATCCGTTGAGTCAGTGGTACCATCCAACCATTTCATCCTCTGTTGCCCCTTTCTCCTGCTCTCCATTTTTCCCCAGCATCAGGGTCTTTTCCAATGAGTCAGCTCTTTGCATCAGGTGGCCAAAGTATTGGACCTTCAGCTTCAGCATCTGTCCTTCAAAAAATATATTCAAGGTAGACTTTCTTTAGGATTGACTGACTTGATCTCCTTGACGCAAGGGACTCACTAGAGTCTTCTCAAGCACCACAGTTCAAAAGCATCAATTCTTTGGCAATCAGCCTTCTTTATGGTCCAATTCTCACATCCACAAACGACTACTGGAAAACTATAGCTTTGACTGTATGGACCTTTGTTGGCAAAGTGATGTCTCTGCTTTTTAAAACACTGTCTAGTATTGACATAGCTATTCTTTCAAGGAGCAAAACGTCTTTTAATTACATGGCTGCAGTCACTATCTGCAGTGATTCTGGAGTCGAAGAAAATGAAATCTGACACTGTTCCCACATTTTCCCCATCTATTTGCCATGAAGTGATAGGATCGGATGCCGTGATCTTAAAGTTTTTTGAATGCTGAGTTTTAAGCCAACTTTTCCACTCTCCTCTTTGACCTTCATCAAGAGGCTCTTCAGTTCCTCTTCACTTTCTACCATTAACGTGGTTATCATCTGCATATCAGAGGTCGTTGATATTTCTCCCAGCAATTTTGATTTCAGTCCACTGTTCCATGTCTAGCTCTTACTGGTGCTTCTTGTTCTGCATACACATTTTGCAGGAGGCAAGTAAGGTGGTCTGGTATTCCCATCTCTTTAAGAATATTCCATTTTGTTGTGACCCACACAGTCAAAGGCTTTAGCATAGTCAATGAAGCCAAAATAGATGTTTGCTTGGAATTACCTTGCTTTTTCTATGATCCAGGGTATGTTGACAATTTGATCTCTTGTTCCTCTGCCTTTTCTAAACCCAGCTTGTACCTCTGGAAGTTCAGTTCATGTACTGCTGAAGCCTAGCTTGAAGGATTTTGCTGGCATGTGAAATGAGTTCAGTACAGTAATTTGAACATTCTTTGGCATTGTTTTTTTTGGGGATTGGAATGAAAACTGACCTTTTCAGTCTTGTGGCCACAGCTGAGTTTTCCAAATTTGCTGGCATATTGAGCACAGCACTTTAACAGCATCATCTTCTAGGATCTGAAATAGCTCAGCTGAAATTCCAACACTTCCACTAGCTTTGTTCATAATAATGCTTCCTAAGACCCACTTGACTTCACACTCCAGGATGAACAGGTCTAGGTGAGTGACCACATCATTGTGGTTAACTGGGTCATTAAGAGCTTTTTTATACAGTTCTTCTGTGTATTCTTGCCACCATTTCTGCTTGTTATGTCCTTGCCATTTTTGTCCTTTATGATGCCTATCTTTGTATGAAATGTTCAAATTAATATAAATAAAATTTACTATATTTAAATTATTAATAACATTATTCAAGATGCTCTTATTCTTATTTTTTCTGCACTTGATAAAATATTCTCAGAGAAATGTTAATATGTTTCACTATGATTACATATATTTTTTCTTTTCCTTTATATATCTTCTGATTTTTGTTTTATGTATCTTTGTTGTTAGGTGTCTAATGGTTAACGATGTCTATCTTCTTTGTGAATTGTATCTTTTATCATTAAAAATGCTCATCTTTGTTTCATTTAAAAATAAATAAATTTTAAAACAAAAAACAAGCAAAAATTCTAACTTAAAGGTAATTATTACATTAGAATATACAATTTGATGATATCCAAGCAAAGGAAAATCCATACCTTCTTATCAGTCTTGACCAGACAATACCATTTGTTAGGAAACCATTTGTGTTAGGAAAGAGAAGAAAGGTATTGTGGAATATACTGTGAGGGAGGTGTTTCAGTTCTATCAGGCATTAAAAAAATCTAACTTATCATAAAAAATTGAGACCCAGTGCATACTGAGGACATAAAAAATACATGAGATAAAAAAAAAAATACATGAGATAAAGTCCCTTGTCCTAGAGTCTCTAGCTAGAAAAAAGGACAAAATCAAGAGAGGGATAATACAACATACAAGAAGAGAGCATCCAAAGGCCAACAAGAAGCGCTAGAAGAATTCAGAGAAAAGGTAACATCTTGGGAAGCTGAGACAGTCAAGGAGCACTTCCTTAAAGAGCTTCAGCTAGAACTGAGAGAAAACAGAAGAGGAAGGGAGTAAGAAACTCAGGCTTAACTGACTGAAACACACTGCTTTGCACAGAGAGAACCACATAAGTCTTGGAAAGATTTGTTAAAATGTCTCAGTTCCCTGTCTAAAAGACTACCTAAACTTAACCAGGGCTTTCCCAAGTTTTTTAAAAAACAAATGAATAAAAAAGCTCCACCATGTCAAAAGGAACTTTATACAAAACCCCCTCACTCATAAACTTTCCTCTTAAATTAGTCATGTTTTCTAAGTAATACATGCAATACTCTTTCAAAACAAAGAATGCACCTAGATGGTGTGCTGGTTTATTGGTCTGTTCTCAAAATATGGTCCAAAGATTCCCTGTTTTATAGGGGAAACTGTGAGGTCAGAAACATTTTAATTGCTCTGAATTCTCCCTCTCCTAGGAGGCATGTAGGAGTTGTCCAGAGGCTCCATGGTGTGACATCACAACAGACCGAATGCAGAAGCAAGTATGAGAACTCCAGCCATAAGACATTAAATAAGATTTGCAACCAATGCTATACTTCTCACTAACACTTATTTTGGAAAATAGCTATTTTTATAAAAATACATTTATGTTAACATGTAATGGGTTTATTATTGCTATTTTTAGATGAATTTTAAAATAAATATTTAAAATTGCTCAGTTTTAATTTCTAACACAGGATCAATAAACACAACTCATATAATTAAAAACTCTTTGGGTTCTCAATAATTTTTAAGAGAATAAAAGGATCTTGGAACCAAAAGGTTGAGACTAGCTGATTAGAGCAGTAAGTCTCAAAGAAAAATCTAAGGCTGAAGAAGGCCAACAGATTCCTTCAGAATGAAAGGTGATACACAGATAGCCAACAGGCACATGAAAAGATGTTCAACATTGGGGCTTCCCTGCTGGTACAGTGGTTATGAATCTGCCTTGCAATGCAGGGGACACTGGTTCTATCCCTGGTCTGGGAAGACCCCACATGCCTGAACTATAAGCCTATGTACCACAACTACTGAAGCTTGTGCGCCACAGAGCCAGTGCTATGCAATAAGAGAAGCCGCTCAATAAGAAGCCGGTGCTGCAACTACAGAGTAGCCCCGATTCTCCACACACAGCGGAGAAAGCCCACACACAGTAATAAAGACCCAGTGCAGCCAAAAACAAATAAATAAATAAAGATGAGAAACAACAACAAACAAGACGTTCAACGTCACTGATTATTAAAGAAACACAAATCAAAACTACAATGAGGTACCACCTCACACCAGTCAGAATGGCCATCATTAAAGAGTCAACAAATAACAAATGCTGGAAAGGATGTGGAGTAAAGAGAACACTCCTACAATGATGGGGATGCAAGTTGGTACAGCCACTGTGAAAAATCATGGATTTTCCTCAGAAAACTAAAAATAGAATTACCATATTATTTAGCAATTCCACTCCTGGGCATATATCCAGACAAAGCTGTAATTCAAAAAGATACATGTACTCCTATTCATAGTAGCACTCTTCACAACAGCCAAGACATGGAAACAACCAAAAAGTCCAAAGACAAACGAATGCATAAAGATGTGGTGCACATATACAGTGGGATACTACTCAGCTATAAAAACGAACAAAATACGGCACTTCCCTGGTGGTCCAGTGGAAGTGGTCCTGGTGGTTAAGGCTAGTTGCTCCCAATGCAGGGGGGGCATGGGTTCAATCCCTGGTTGGGGAACTAAGATCCTGCATGCTGCCCTCCCCCCCACCCCCGCCACAAAAAGGAATGAAATAATCCCATTTGCAGCAACATGGATGGACCTAGAGATTATCATACTGAGTGAAGTAACTCAGAGAAAGACAAACACTGTATGATATCACATATATGGAAACTAGGATATGACACAAATGAATCTATTTATGAAACCAACCACAGAGAGAGAACTGGTGGCTGCTGAGGGGGAGGGGATGGAGAAAGGATGGGGTAGGAGTGGGATTAGCATTTGTAAGCTTCTTATATATAGAACAGATAAACAACAAGGTCATACTGTATAGTAGGAAGAATTAATATCCTATGATAAACAATACTGAAAAACATAAAAATGTATACATAACTGAATGTATGTATATATAACAATCACTGTGCTGTAAGCAGTAATTAACACAACATTGTGAATCAACCATACTTTAATTAAAAAAATCTAAAAAAGAATAGGATAACTTGAATAAGGTTACAAAAAAGGGGTCTTTTCTGAATAGATAATACTTAACATGGTTCACATAACAAAAGAGAGATAAAAATATATATAGAAAAAAAATCTAGGGACTTCCCTGGTGGTCCAGGGGTTAAGAATTCACCTTTCAATACAGGGATGCAGCTTCAATCCCTGATCAGGGAAATAAGATCCCTCATGCCATTGGGCAACTACTGAGCCCATGAGTTCTAGAGCCCATGCGCCAAAACTAGAGAGAAGCTTGCATGAGCAGCAAGGAAACATCCTGCATGCCACAACTAAATAAACACACACCCAAATAAATAAATAAATAATTTTTAAAAAAGATCAAATCCCAACCATTCCAACATCCCCCCTACACACAGGTAACTGCTAATTTTTTCTGTCTCTTGCCCTGTAAGTTTCCTTATCCCATCTAACACAAAAGAAAACACACTATATAGTTTTGCACCTTGTTTTTTTTTTCCTCTTAGTAATATGAATAACATTTTTTAATGAGTTGAGGAAAATAAAATTTTTCTTAATGTGGCTACTGGAAATTTTTAAATTACATTTATAACTTACAGTATATTCCTATTAGACCACACTGACCAAGTCAATGATTATCAACACAGAAGCATCTACACTGTTGGAAGTATGTACCACCACCTGAGAAGTAGTCTTAAACAAACAAAATCAAACCTGAATTTGACCAAAGCTCCAAATCTGTACTAACATGGCAGCCACTAGACACACGGGACAATTTACATTAAAATGAAGTTAAATTTAAAATTCACTTTCAGTCCCAATAGCCGCATTTCTAGTGCTAAATGGCCATAGTGAAGATACACATTTTCATTATCACAGAAATATGGCTGGGATTTCCTTCAAAATAATCAAGGTAGTGTACAGAAACAGCACAACTGGCCATGAATTGACAATTGCTGAAGCTGGATAACAGACACCTGGGAATTCACTCTACTAGTGTTCTCTACTTTTGTATGTTTGAAAATTTCCATTAAAAAGTTTTAAAGATTCCTGGAACAACAAAAATTCCTAATAGACTTAAACCCTATCATCTAGAATTGATCTCATCTCAAAAATGATGGACTCCAAAATGATGCTCTAGTCTCAGCATATCCTCCCATGTCATGCCCTTACTTTCCTGAATTCAGAGTGACTTTCAGCTCATGGATCACTCTGCTTTCTCCCAGTCTCTCAATTTCCTTCTGACTACTCCAAAGTCACAATAATCAAATGATTGACCAAAGCAACTATGCTTGACTTTTCTGTATACACAGCCAAATGAAAGGAGCTGGGAGTGGGGGCACAACTGTGAAGATGGATCCCTACAAAGTCATGTCCATCACAGGTAGGATCTTTATATTTTATCAATTTCTCATTTGACCTTACTCAGCAATTCAGACCATTCTCAGAGATTACCCCAAAGCACTCTCCATTTCTCCTCAGGTCTCTCTACTCAACCACACAACTACACCCTGAAGAGAAAAAACACTTTGGATGCATTTGCACTTACATGTTTCTTCACAGATAATCTGTCTTATTATGATACTTACCCTCAAAAGGGCTTCCTTGGTGGCTCAGATGGTAAAGAATCTGTCTGCAATGCGGGAGACCTGGGTTTAAGCCCTGGGTTGGAAAGATCCCCTGGAGAAGGGAATGGTCACCCATGCCAGTATTCTGGCCTGGAGAATTAATTCCATGAGCTGTACAGTCCATGTCGCAAAGTGTCAGACACAAGTGATTGACTTACACTCGCATGCATAAGATAAAATTCATTAACAAAAACATTTTAGCAAAATCTTATCAACTAGTTATGTTCAAAGTTCTTAAAAAACTTACTGTTAACAGCAATCCATTCATTGAGGTCCTCTCCCTCTGGCAACATAACAGCTTGTCTCAAATTCCCACTTCCTAGAGTTGCTTCTGCATGTTTTAAGAGTTCATACTGATGAGATCCTTCAGGGATATTCTTCTTTGGTTTGAATGTTTTAGAAGAGCGGCTACTACTGTTAGGTTAAAAATAAGAGTATATCAATTTTTAGGACCGGACACAGAATGACAATCTTAGGCATATAAATTGTTTTGAAATTAAAAAACATTTCCTGAAAAGTGTGACGATGTCGGGGTGGGGGACACACAATAAAGTAAAGATTTAGAATTTTAAAAAAGTTTCCCCTACACAGAAACAGGAATAGCAGCACAATTTCACATAGAGGGCAATTTTACTAAGCTACACGAAGCAGTCTGGTATAACAGAAAGGGCACCTTAACCAAAAGAAGAAAAAACCTGGATTCTAGTTCTTGATCTGCCACTAACTGTGATGACTTAAGAAACCTAACCTCCTTTTGGCCTGTTTTCATCTACAGAAAACAGTACTGCCAGAGTGGTAGTTCTAAGGCTCTTACAGCTAAAAATCCAGTTTTCTGTATCAAAATACTTGTGGTGCCATCAAAGCAAACTACAGAAGAATCACTAACATTTGGAATTTATGGCAGGGAAAATAAACAACTGGTTTTGGAGGGGAAAAGTAAGCTTTTATTCCTATCTCACACCATTCATAAGGTCTTCCTAACATAACACAAAGCTCAGAAAAAAATGGACAGGTTTCTAACTATAACAATTAAAACTTCCATAATTCAGAAACAAAAAAGTACTTGTAACACATATTACAAAGTATGAACTAAATAATAAAGGGCTTTTATAATAGGTTAAAAAAAGGCTTTAGAAAAATGGGCTAAAGAGATGAATATACAATTCAGAAAAAAAAAAAACAATGACAAATGAACACATATGAAATGCTCCTCAATCAGTCCCTTCTACTTCTAGGTATCTCTCCTTGATATGGATAAGGATGTGTTTTCCAAGATTGTTTTTAATAGTGAAAAACCTGGAAACAATCCTAAAACTTACTAGTAGAGAAATGAGTATGACACATCTATATCATCAAATACCATACGGCAATTAAGAAGAACAAGATGGAGCTACATGAATTCACATAGACAGATTTCAATACATGGTCACACATATTACAATATGAAATGTACAGCAGAAGTCTATTTTGCAAATGCATAGAAAATGTCACCCCTCAAACTGATACTGGTGATTATTTCCAGGAAGGGAAAGGAAATAAGACTGAGGACTTTCACTTTACTTGAGTAATCTGAATTTTAAATAAGACTGACTGTTAAGTAAAAAGGAGTTATGAAAACAATAAAAATCAAACATGGGAAGTTTGTGTTTAACATAATAAAGAGCTAAATTTAATAGGGAAGTATTACATTAGAGGGAATGGCCCTTTACAATAAAAATAAGCTGTGAATGACAGGAAGCTAAATATGGAAAACTAGCAAGAAAATTGTCTCAAGGTTCTGTATGATCTTCATGTAAATGAAGATGTCTGTGCTTCAAATGGCACCAAGACAGTGAAAACAATCTAAAAAATCAGAGAAAATTTTGCAAAACGTAAATGTGACTAAAGGACTTATATCCAGGATGAAGAATTTTTACAACTTAAAACCAAAGACAAGCCAATTTAAAAAATGGTCAAAATGTTTGAGTAGATATTACTTCAAAGGATATACACAAACTGCCAATAAGCACACAAAAAGGTGCTCAACATCATTAATCATTAAGGAAAAACAAATTAAAATCACAATGAGATACCATTTCACATCCACTTAGGATGTGCTACAATCAAAAATTCAATTAACAAGTGCCAGGGAGGGTGTGGGGAAATTTCCAAGAGAATTAACACATACATCCAAAACAAAAATCTATACCCAAGTTTATAGCATAATTATTCATAATAGCTAAAAAGTGGAAACTCAATTGTCTATCAACAAAACAAAGTTTAAAAGAAATAAACAGAGCCATATTTAGGTCCAAAAAACAAACAAGAACTGTGTATCCACAAACAAATCACTAACTAAACATTAACATAAGAAAAAGACTGGTTATGGGGGGGATTGTTCTGGTAATAAGGACACTTTCAATTAAAATATAAATCAAACAGATTTTTTGACACGGTAATCACACTTTGAAGGCTATTCGCTTAAAAAAATAATTCAAAGGAGGGGAAAAGCGACTGTTAGTCAAAGATATTTCCTGTAATCCTATTTTACAATAGCAAAATACTAGAAAAGAATCCAAATTTCTCACATTAAGAAACGGGGTGAACTCTGGTTATGATACACTATTTTAGATGTCAAGTATGTGAGTGATGCCCATAACTAAAATTGGATTCGCTCATACAATACATATTTAAGTAGTACACTAGGTAGAGAGGGCCACTAGAGGAAAAAAAGGTGCGACAGCAATGCTTCCCAAACGTTAACGTGCTTAAGAATCATCAGAGAATTTACAAACTTTTCCCACTTGAAGGCTCATTTGGGTCCAACAGCTATCTCTAAAACAGGATTCTACCGAGTTAAAAAGACGTTAGTTAATTACACAAATTCACAAAGTGGGCTGAATCAGAACTGTATGTAAAGGCCGCAGCTTAACTTTAGAGACACTCCCACATTTTCCTGGGGCGGCATTTTTCCACGGGGGTAATTTAATCCTGACGATAATAAAGCTGGCGTACGGTGGAATAAAAAGCTTAGTCAGCATGCATCGTTGCTAAAAGGCTGGGGACTTGAGAGAAACTGGGAGCCCCGGATCGTCTCTCTGCCCTCAGGCGCAGTCGGGCGGAAAAGTTTCGAGGCGCTGCTGGCCTCGGGGCCTTTCTACACCCCAATCTTCTCGCTCCGCTTCCTTTGCCTCGACCTTCATCTCCGTCTTCTGCCCACATCCTAGACTCCTCCAAGACTCCGAGAGCTAGCAGAGCAAGCACCTGGCACCCCAACCCCGGCCCTGGGGACTGCCCTCGCCTCAGGCGCCCCATCGCCCCTTCCGGCCCTCGGCCCTCACTCAGCCCTGGAGCCCCGGCCACACTCACAAGAGGAAGCTCATCTTCTGTCCTCGGAGGGGAGGGGCCGCTGGCCCCCGCCGCGGTCAGGACTCGGAGTCCGCGCGGAACTGGGAAGGAGCCGAAGGTCCGAAGCCGGCGGACAGCCGAAGCCGGCCCCGCCACAGCTCCAAGCCCGGGTGGAACCGATGCAGAGCCGGTGCAAGCGGGTGAGCAACTGAACCCGCCTAGTACTCCTCCCCCACCTTCCAGACTCAAAATGCGGAACCAGCAAAATCTCGCGATCTAAGGCTTCGTTCGGCCCCGCCCTCCCGGAGCGTGTCTACAAGCCCCTTTTTGCACCGCCCGCTCCTTCATCTCAGCCAATCAGGGGCCTCTAAGGTCGGGTTTCTGCTCCGGAAGTCGTGGTGGGTTCACGGTCCTTGGCCTAGAAGAATGGCTGACCTTGGTTCTGATTGTCGCTGCTCTGCGCCTCCTGTCTCCCTAGGTGGCCAGGGGCCTCTGTGAGCGCAGAAACTTTAAGTTTTTTTTTTTCCCCCCATTGTGGTGTGAAGTTTGTGGAATCTTAGTTCTTCGATCAGGGATGGAACCTGGGCCCATGGCATGGAAAGTCCTGAGTCTTAATTCCCCCCCAAAAGTTTTAAATTTAAATTTGATTTTTAAGTTGAGATTTAAAACTCACTCTTTATTTATTTTTGAATAATTGTATTTATTTTATTATTTTTTGGCTATGTTGCATCTTCGTTGCTGAGCACCAGTCTTCTCTAGTTGTGGTGCACAGGCTTCTCACTGTGGGGGCTTCTCTTGTGGAGGGAGCGTAGCCTCTGGGGCATACCAGCTCCAGTGGTTCCTGGGCCCTAGAACACAGCATAGTAGTTGTGGCACACAGGCTTAGTTGCTTCTCAGCAGATGGGACTCTTCCTGGGTCAGGGTCAGAGATGGAACCTGTGTTTCCTGCATTGGCAGGTGGAGTCTTTACCACTGAGCCACCAGGGAAGCCCCAAATTCACCCTTCTGAAAAGTACTGCTGCTGCTGCTAAGTCGCTTCAGTCGTGTCCGACTCCTAGCGACCCCATGGACTGCAGCCTACCACGCTCCTCCGTCCATGGGATTCTCCAGGCAAGAGTATTGGAGTGGGGTGCCATTGCCTTCTCCGCTAAAAAGTACACTTTTGCGTTTTTTGTCACAGAGTATTCAGAGTCCTTCAACCCCTATCTGCTTCTCATTTTTTTTCCCCCAATACCTCCCCCCAAAAACAGATACCCATTAGCAATTGTTCCCTGTGCCTCCCTCTTCCTAAGTCTTGGCACAACTGATCTACCTTCTTTTTATATGACTTTGCCTAATCTGAATATTTCATATAAGTGGAATCATACAATATGTGGCGTTTTGTGACTGCCTTCATTCAATTACCATAATGTTTTGAAGTTTCATCCACAATGTAGTATATATCAGTGCTTTATTCTTTTTATAAATGAACACTATTCCATTGCATGAATATACTATATTTTTTTAATCCATTCATCTACTGATGGATATTTGAGTGGTTTCCACTGTTCGGCTGTAATGAATACTCTTGCTACAGTTTTTGTGTGGATGAATGTGTTCTTTTCTCTTGGGTATATGCCTAGGAGTAGCTGTGTCATACAGATAGATAACTGTATGTTTAACCTTTGGGGTAACTGCCAGACTGTTTTCCACGTTAGCTGTACCATTTTACACTCCCACTGGCAAATATCCAAAGATTCTGATATTTCCACATCCTTGGTAGCATTTGCTATTATGTATCTTTTTGATTATAGCCAGCCTAGTGTGTGTGAAGTACTTTCTCTTACTTTTGATTTGCATTTCCCTGTTGCAGGATGTTGAGAATCTTCATGTTTATTGATCTTTGAAAAAAATGTATTTTTATCATCAAGATTGTTTTGTTTAGCTGCTAAAGTGAAAGTGAAAGTGAAGTCACTCAGTCGTGTCTGACTCTTTGTGCCTTTGCTAAGTCCTATGTAGTTCTTTGAGACCCCATAGACTGCAGCACACCAGCCTCCCTGCCCTCTACCACCTCCAGGAGTTTGCTCAAATTGAGTCAGTGATGCTGTCTAACCATCTCATTCTTTGCCACCCTCATCTCCTTTTGCCTTCAGTCTTTTCCAGCATCAGGGTTTTTACCAATGAGTCATTTAAAGCTTCAGCTTCAACATCAGTCCTGCCAATGAATAAGCAGGGTTGATTTCCTTTCAGATTGACTGGTTTGACCTCCTTGCAGTCCAAGAGACTCTTGAGAGTCTTCTCCAGCACCACAGTTCCAACCCATCAATTCTTCAGCACTCAGCCTTCTTTATAGTCCAGCTCTCACCTCTGTACATGACTACTGGAAAAACCATGCTTTGACTATACTGATCTTTGTTGGCAAAGTGATGTCTGTGCTTTTTAATAAGGTATCTAGGTTTTTCATAGCTTTCCTTCCAAAGAACAAGCATCTTTTAATTTTATGGCTGCAGTCACCATCTGCAGTGATTTTGGAGGCCAAAAAAATAAATAAATAAATAAATAAAATCTGTCACAGCTCCCACATTCCCCACTTCTATTTGCTGTGAACTGATGGGACCCGATGCCATGATCTGAGTTTTTTTTAATGTTTCCAGCCAACTTTTTTCACTTTCGTCTTTCCCCATCATCAAGATGCTCTTTAGTTCCTCTTTGCTTTCTGCCATTAGAGTGGTATCATCTGTATATCTGAGGTTGTTGATATTTCTGTTGGCAGTTTTGATTCCAGCTTGTGATTTATCCAGCCCGGCATTTCGCATGATATACTCTGCATAGAAGTTAAATAAGCAGGGTGACAATATACAACCTTGTTGTATTCCTTTCCCAATTTGGAACCAGTCAGTTGTTCCACATCTGGCTCTAACTCTTGCTTGTTGATTCACATACAGGTTTCTCACCAGACAAGTAAGGTGGTCTGTTACTCCCGTCTCTTGAAGAATTTTCTACGGTTTGTTGTGATCCACACAGTCAAAGGTTTTACAGATTCAATGACGCAGAAGTAGATGTTTTTCTGGAATTCCCTTGCTTTCTCCATGATGCAACATGTTGACAATTTGATCTCTGATTTCTCTGCCTTTTCTAAACCCAGCTTGAACATCTGGAAGTTGTCAGTTCACATACTACTGAAGCCTGACTTGAAGGATTTGAGCTTAACCTTGCTCAGCATATAAAATGAGTGCAATTTTATGGTAGTTTGAACATTCTTTGGCATCTCTCTTCTTTGGGATTAGAATGAAAACTAACCTTTTCCTGTCCTGTGGCCATTGCTGAATATTCCATATTTGCTGACATGTTGAGTGCAGCACTTTAACAGCATCATCTTTTAGGATTTGAAATAACTCAGCTGGAATTCCATCACCTTCACTAGCTTTGTTCGTAGTTATGCTTCCCAATTAATAATGCATTAGTAATGCTCAAAGGAAAGTTACTTTGTCCTTTGCACAAAGTAATGCTCAGGATTCTCCAAGTCAGACTTCAACAGTACGTGAACCATGAACTTCCAGATGATCAATCTGGATTTAGAAAAGGCAGAGGAACCAGAGATCAAATTGCCAACATCCATTGGATCATCAAAAAAAACAAGAGAGTTCCAGAAAAATATCCAAGTACGACAAGGCTGTATATTGTCACCCTGCTTATTTAACTTCTATGCAGAGTACATCATGCAAAATGCTGGGCTGGATGAAGCACAGGCTGAAATCAAGATTATGGGAGAAATATTCGATAACCTGAGATACGCAGGTGACACCACCCTTATGGCAGACAGTGAAAAAGAACTAAAGAGGCTCTTGATGAAGGTGAAAGAGGAGAGTGAAAAAGCTGACTTAAAACTCAACATTCAAAAAACTAAGATCATGGCATCTGGTCCCATCACTTCATGGCAAATAGATGGGGAAACAATGGAAACAGTGACAGACTTTATTTTGGGGGGCTCCAAAATCACTGTAGATTGTGACTGCAGCCATGGAATTAAAAGATGCTTGCTGCTTGGAAGAAAAGCTATGACAGACTTAGAAAGCATATTAAAAAGCAGAGACATTATTTTGCTGACACAGGTCCCTATAGTCAAAGCTATGGTTTTCCAGTAGTCATGTATTGATGTGAGAGTTGGACTATACAGAAAGTTGAGCACCGAAGAATTAGTGCTTTTGAACTGTGGTGTTGGTGAAGACTCTTGAAGAGTCCCTTGGACTGCAAGGAGATGAAACCAGTCAATCCTAAAGGAAATCAGTCCTGAATATTCATTGGAAGGACTGATGCTGAAGCTGAAATTCGAATACTTTGGCCACCTGATGTGAAGAACTGATTCATTGGAAAAGACCCTGATGCTGGGAAAGATTGAAGGCAGGAGGAGAAGGGGATGATAGCGAATGAGATGGTTGGATGGCATCACCGACTTGATGGACATTCACTGACTTGATTGGCATGAGTTTAGCAAGCTCAGGGAGTTGGTGATGGACAGGGAAGCCTGGCATGCTGCAGTCCATGATGTTGAAAAGAGTCAGACATGGTTGAGTAACTGAACTGAACTGAATGCTTCTTAGGGCCCACTTGACTTCACACTCCAGGATGTCAGGCTCTAGGTGAGTGACTACACAATTGTGGTTATCTGTGTCATTAAGACCTTTTTTGTATAGTTTGCCTGTGTATTCTTGCCATGTCTTTTTAATCTCTTCTGTTTTTGTTAGGTCCTTACTGTTTCTGTCCTTTATCATTCCCATCCCTGCAGGAGATGTTCCCTTGATATCTCCAATTTTCTTGAAGAGATCTCTAGTCTTTCCCCTTCTATTGTTTTCCTCTATTTCTTTGCATTGTTTATTGAGGAAGGCCTTCTTATTTCTCCATCCTGTTCTTTGGAATTCTGCATTCAGTTGGGTATATCTTTCCTTTTCTTCTCTGACTTTCGCTTCTCTTCCCAGCTATTTGTAAAACCTCCTCAGACAACCACTTTGCCTGCTTGCATTTCTTTATCTTGGGAATGGTTTTGGCACCCTTCTTG